GGGAGGTGGGGGAGCGAGGACGTTGTTGTATGCTCGATAGTGGGGTTAGAGTAGGGAGTAGAAGTATCTGATGATAGAATAGCTTCTATAGTATGTGAAATAAAGTCGTTGAGTTGATTGTGTTATACAAGTAGTACCTTTTCTTGAGGGTTGAGCCTTGGTTTGAAGGGGAATTCGGTTATGATGCTTTGGAGGGTGTGTTTTATGTTTCATGTTTTATGTGAGCAGGGTTGAGGTTCAGGGATGGGGGGAGGAGTGTGTGGCATGTGGTTTGTTTGTTTTGTGAGGCAGAGGGGAGAGGGTTGGGGGGATTAGAGGGGAATGATGATGAAGTGAGAGAGCGAAATGCATATGTGGATTTGTGTATAAGGATCTTTTTAGTGGGCATATTACTAGATCTACTAGATAAAGTGAGGCAATTGGTTTTGGAGTGGGATTAATTATTATGCTCTCTTCTATTAGAGGGGTGTATTTGTGAAATACACGTAGTTTGTCGCGTATAAAGTCAAGGGTATGTATGTATTACGTGGAGAAAGAGGTCTTTTTTGAGTAGTGCTTTGGGTGGTTGTGGGATGGTTGTAGAGTTTGTGTTTATCGAGAGGAGAGGAAGAGAGATTTGATGGGAGGTAGCTGTGGATTAGTGATTCGAGAGTTGAAGACTGAAGTGGAAGGTGATGAGGGAGAGGTTGATGCACGTTTTTGTTCTTGTGCTTTTCTTTTTAGTGGAAGCTGTGGTAGAGGGAATTGGTTGTTATCACGTGTAGGTTGGGATATTTGGTATGTATTGTATATAGTAGGGGGGCTTTTAAATGATTTAGGGATACTCTAATGTTTACGAGTTAGCTTTATATTATATATACTCTTAGTAACTTATAGGAGAGCCCGGGGTTTTTGCGACGGTCGTATGTCCGTTACTAATCAGCCTACGTTCTAGGAGCGTTCTGGGAGCGTTCCGACTTAGTAATTATTCTAAGATAGAACTATTTATTAGCTAAACAGTTTTTAGTCAAACGTATTATACAATTATTATTATAAGTAAGTATTTAGATTTAGAGAACGGTTATCCTTTATAACTATCCTAGGATAATTCTAGGATAGTTCCTGAGAACCTTCTTAGATAACAAGAGGAGCAAGGGTTACACAAACAAATACAAGTACTCGGTACTACTCCTATAGGCTTAACCTTAACGCTATATAAATTTAGGTTTCAGAATCGCTCGATTTAGACGATTTTAGTAGGCGCGCTTCGTTTAGGCGCTATTACAGGTAGTTATATTACGTACCTAGTTACCCTAGTACGTAGGGGGTACACCTATTACCCTAAGCAGGTAAGGGTAAGCGAGGGCATTCCGAGTCTTAGCGCACCACCTACTAGGTAGCTAAGTAATAGTCCCGGAACGCTCCTAGGATAGTTACTAAAAGACGGAACGATCATCTAAGGTAATAATTAATATTAAAAATAAGTAGGAAATCCTTAATTATACCTTAGAGGGGAAATGTCACGAATCACGTGTAGCAATGCATGTGACAAAGGAAGTCCAGGCGGCGTCCTGACAGGTTAAGCACATCCATGGACTTATAGCAAAAAAGGGATCAGTTAGACTAGCTAAGCGAACCAGGGATTTCTTCTGGTTAAGAAAATCACGTGATCTAGTCGCCTGAGTCGCCTGAGTCGCCGGTCGACTGAAGCGATCAGGGCGAGCGACTAGAGCGATCAATCAGGGAACGAAGGTTCTATATAAGACTGGCACGTCTGCCATTAGATAGGAGCTTCGTGCTCAACTTAGTTATCAATCTTATCATATTAGTTTGACATCTTTGATACAAGTAACGAGTTCACTTC